TAAACCCCCCAAACCCAGAACCCTAAGAAAGCCTACAGCCTCGGTCAACTTTATCATCACTCCTAAACCCCCCCAAACCCAAGAGCCTAATGAAGCCTCAATCAAGTCTCGGTCAATTTTATATAATCACTCCAAAACCCCCAAACCCAAAGCCCTAAATTCACTATCATCCACACAATGATCCCGGCACGACCACGAAATCCCCTGCAAGCACTAGAGCCCACTGGCTTCAATACCGACCCCCCCTCTACAACAATCGCGACTAGCTAGCAACCCGGAAATCACAAATTCTTCAAACCCAGGCTCTTGCCTTCTTTGCATCCTTCATGATCGCTTCGGCGTCTGCGGAGGCATCCTGGAGGGGTGGTGTGTAGAGTATGTATATTATTATATACCAGGGTTTAGGGTTTAGGGTTAAGGGTTTAGATGTCATGCTGTCCTTGCCGGCGGTCTGCCCTTTAGGCACAGCTTTCTTTTTCGGCTTAGCTTTGACACTGGCTTTTTTGGTCTTGGCCTTCTTTGCTTTCTTTTTCTTCTTCTTGTTTGTCTTCGCCTTCTTCGAAGACGAAGTCTCCGCCTCATCATCCTCCGTCGAATCATCCGACGAGTCGCTGCTTCCCTCTTCGGCCTGGAACAGCTTTTCCACTTCTTCGAGATCTTCGTTTTCCTCCACATCTTCAGCCAGGCAGAGAAACTGCTGCATGTCCTGCAGAGCATAGCTACGTACCAGGGTGGGGTGGGGCGAGACTATATATTTAGAGGATCAGGATGCAGGCGAATCATGTTTCAAATAGTGTATTGAGTCCTGGCCTTCCGGTGCTTGCACTCCGGGTGGTCACGAACTTCCTTCTGGCGAAGCTCTGCATCCTCCAGCTTTGCATCCCGGATGTCTGTCGCGACACTTTCCCCAAAGCGCTCGCACATCTCTTTAAACGTCATCCACTTTCGAAGGCCACGGCTTTTCTTGGAGTTCTTCTGCTTCAGGGAAATCAGCAGCTTCGAGGATTTCCAGCATTCACTGCTGGTCAACCAAGACTCAAAGAG